TTTTTTTTTTTTTTTTTTGGGTTTTGGGTTTGGGTTGGTTTGGATAGGGCATAGGGCGTCCAAGAATCTCGGTATACTTACAATGGAAATATTGGTTGGAGTGAACTCCAGCCTGTTGAGGCGCAGTCCAGCTTGCGGTATATACGCCTGTTGCGACCTTCGAAGGCTCTTCTTTCTTCCTCCACTCAACCATCAGAGTGATGGTGTCTTCAGTTTCCTCTACACAGCCAAGCTCAATAGCTGCTCCCTTTGAGGCCGAGGCACTTACCTTAACTGGGGTGTACTCCGGAACCATACTCTCGCATATGTCAACATGGTGGGAGTTAAGGTAATACGAAATATCGCTGTCCTTTCCGGCCCATGCTTTAAAGGTCTCCAGTTGGCTCTTGGGCTGGCTCATGTAGCTATAAAAATAGTTAAAGTCTCCGAGTCTTCGAGCCTTGTTTCGAGCATCAGAATATGCTGGGTCGAAACGCTTGTGGTGCTCGATGAATACGAAAACGTTATGCTTTCGAGACTCCGCCAAAAGCTCAAGATGGTCCTCCAGAGTCTTTGTAGCTGGCTTAGTGATAAGGACGTGGATCTTACGCCGGATAGCGTACAGCGCAATTTCATAATGTGTGGTATCAGGAGTAAATATCGTGATGGCTGAGCCAGGCTCTAACGCATCTATGGCCGCCTTGTACGCATTTGCATCAACCTTGTCATCTGCCGGGTAAGACTCAAACGAAGTTGACAGCCCGTTGTACACCTCGGATATGTTGGTCTGGAGATGTTTCCCTTTTACACCATGTTTGGAGTAGACATCAGTAACTATCAGGTCAAAACCGCCCTGGTTGCGTCACAGCAGAGGGAGCACAGAATGGGAACACTCACTGATATGGGGAAATTTTAGGCCTGATACCCCAGCCATGCTCAGGTTACCGACCTTCCCTCGTCTCCGTAGGTCAAACATTGTCAGGCCAACGACTCCCACCTTCTTGTCTGAGGTGGAAGCGGCACCTCCTACGAAGCCAGTGGTATACTCGCCCGTCCCAACCTGCGTATGCACAAGTCAGTTTCCATTTTGTAAACCGAGAGCACATGTCCTACCATCAACACATCTGGAGGAGCCATCTCAACCGGATTACGAACAGGTAAATCTCCTTTGTAACGAGATGCCGTGTACCTATGTTGAAAAGATGCCAGATAACTATTGGGATTCCTTTGTTCAGCGGCTTCCGAGCAGTACAACGCAGGCCCCTGTTTAATTCTACACCATAACATACATTACTCACCTTGCGGAATATGGTGATACCAGGTATGACTTTTTGTATATACTCTTTTTACTACCTCCAAAGAGTGGATGTAGCTAAACGGAGGGAACTATGGGCGGGAGCTGCGAGGTAGGTGGTTTATTCTGGCGGATGTCGGAGCTTAGCCGCGACGCCCCGTAGTTAGTTAACCCCCGCCCAACATCCAAATGTTCAACGTTTTCTGACGGCGTCACCAGCATCCGTTGCTGACAATTGATATACGGTTCAGATTCAGACCTAAGCATTGTGGGCATACGCCAACAACTCGCAGCTAAAAGACAATCTACGATTGACTTCACTGTTGATATAGTTGAGAATGGCAGAGCGGAAGAGGACACCCCTCCAGCCAGGCGTCTATGTGCCTACCATGACATTCTTCGACCCTGCAACAGAAGAACTTGACATACCCACGATCCGCGCTCATGCAATACGACTTGCAAAGGCAGGGGTTGCCGGCCTGATCACCATGGGCTCGAACGGTGAAGCAGTCCATCTGTCCAGAGTAGAGCGCGCCCTTGTCACACAGCAAACCCGCTCGGCACTGGACGAGGCTGGATTCAAGCATATTCCTGTCATATCTGGTGCTACCGACCAAGGAGCTCGAGGCACCATCGAGATATGCCAAGAGGCAGCAGATGCAGGCGCAGAATATATACTGTTGATCTCACCCAGCTACTACCGAACTGCAATGGGGGACCAGAACGCTCTATTTGAATATTTTACTAAAGTGGCCGACGGGTCTCCTCTCCCCATCATTATATATAACTTCCCTGGGGTAGTTGCTGGAATTGATATGGACTCTGACTTTATCATTCGACTATCACAGCATCCCAATATTATTGGAACCAAGTTTACATGCGGCAATACGGGGAAGCTATGCCGTGTTGCCGCTGCCATGAATGCTGTTACTCCGGCTTCCTCCTTGAAAATGGCTTCGGTAGAAAGATCACCTGAGCAAGCAGTCCCTCCTCCATACTTTGCCTTTGGCGGTTATGCGGACTTTGCTCTTCAAACGCTTGTTTCGGGAGGGTCCGGCATTATAGCTGGCGGTGCGAATGTGTTGCCTCATCTTTGTGTAGAAGTATTCAATCTATGGAAGCAGGGAAAGCTGGCAGAGGCGATGGAGGTGCAGAAGATTCTTAGTGACGGAGACTGGATCATGTCCAAGTATACCATCCCAGGGACCAAGTTTGCGATCCAGGTCTGCTATGGCTATGGCGGATATCCTCGAGCACCGATGCCTCGTTTGACGGAGGCACAGGAAAAAGAGGTAGCAGACAAAATCAAGCCGGCCATGGCCATCGAAATGAGGCTCAGTGATGTTGCGTAGATATGCAGGGCCGGTAGATGTCTAGGCGTCTTTAACCTGGTCCATTGGTTACTATGGTTAGTTGTAGTTACTGCGGAATATATAGCTAGACTTAAAATTTAATGGCAGCCGAACTCATCTCAAATAATGGATGCACCAAATATATCAATATCTCGAGATCCCTTATTCATATACACGCATCAAACGTATATGGGAGAAAATGCACCCTTAACGACTCCCTGGGACGGTGGGGAAGCGGTGGAGCCGTCGATGCAACACGGGCTTTATCCCGTTTATCACATCGGCAAAGCAGGTTGGCTTTGATTCTGATACGACACTGCAAGGCAGCAAGACCCGCTGCCGACGTGAAAATCATGGGATTACCGGGCACAATTCGCCCTCAAAATTCCCCATATAACTATGACAACATCGCCTCGATTCTTTTTTTTCAGTAAAGAAATTTTCTATCCTGAGAATTCGGATAACGCAACTTTTCGAAGCAACCAGAGTCAAGATGCCTTCCAGGGACGAAGCAGAGGGGTTCCAGGTCGACAGTGCGGAGACGCATACTCAGTTCCACAAGCGTCATGTTCGTATTCACTACTGTTCAATGTGTCCGAGGTGATTATATAGCTGACGATAGCACAGTATAAACTAAAACCGTTCGAGGACTATGGTGAGGCTACCCTTTTACGCCATTGAACAAAGGGATGGACTGGGGGACTGACAGAGTATGAAGACGTCGATGTCAAGGTAGAAGCCTGCGGGATCTGTGGAAGTGATATCCATACCATCACTGGTATGATTGTTCTACAATCTTTTGAGCAGAGAAACTTGTGTGACTGATGGAGAGGAAACAGGTGGATGGGGCCCTAAGCTCTTCCCTCTATGTGTGGGCCACGGTATGACCCTACATGAACAGGATGACAGGAGTACAGATGCTGACAAGGACACAGAGATCGTGGGCACTGCCATCCGCGTTGGACCCAAGGTGACGCTGATCAAGGAAGGCCAACGAGTCGGTGTCGGGGCCCAAGTCTTCTCCTGCGGCACCTGCAAGCAATGCAAGAACGACAACGAGACGTACTGCCCGAACGTCATCATGGACACGTACGGCTCCAAGTGGCCTGACACTGGCATTGTCAGTCAGGGAGGTTACGGCTCCCACGTCCGAGTCCACGAGCACTGGGTGTTCCCCATCCCCGAGAAGCTGGCCACCACCTCTGTCGCTCCCATGCTCTGCGCTGGCATCACCGCGTACTCACCTCTGGTCCGCAACGGCTGCGGCCCCGGCAAGAAGGTCGGAATCGTCGGACTGGGCGGCATCGGGCACTTTGGCGTCATGTTCGCAAAGGCGTTGGGGGCAGAGACCTGGGCCATCTCACGCACGCGGGCCAAGGAGGCAGACGCCCGCAAGCTGGGAGCAGACGGGTTCATTGCCACGGCCGAAGAGGGCTGGGAGAAGCCGCACAAGTTCTCCTTTGACCTGATCATCAACTGCGCCAACTCGTCCAAGAACTTTGCGCTGGACAAGTACCTGTCCCTGCTGGACGTGCATGCCAAGTGGGTGAGCGTTGGGCTGCCCGAGGAGGACGGCCCGTCCATCAAGGCACAGAGCTTCATCGCCAACGGGGTGCTGATGGGTGCCAGCCACCTGGGGAGCCGCCGGGAGATGCTGGAGATGCTGCAGCTGGCGGCCGATAAGGGGCTGCAGAGCTGGGTCGAGGAGGTCCAGATAGGCGAGGACGGCCTGCGAGACGCCGTGACGAGGATGAAGAAGGGCGACGTCCGCTACCGCTTCACGCTGACCGGCTACGACGCTGCCTTCCCCAAGCCTCCCCGTCCGTCTCTCTAACGTCCTCTCTGCCATCCATCATTCCATCTCATCTCATCTTATCAGTAAAACTATAATTTATGCTTAAACCGTCGAGGCAAAAAAAGGCAAAAAAAGGCAAAAAAGGCAAAAAAGGCCCCTGAGCCGCCTTTCCCCGGGTTTCTTGGCATGAAAATTTTAAACGCTTAAGTAAGCAAAGCTGGAGTCTAAAAAAAAAAAAAAAAGTGTTATTATTGAGGGCAGGCGACTCCTTTTCTTCTCTCTATTAATCCATCATTCACTTCTCCTTTTGCCGCCTCTTCTCGTTCTTTTTTCTTCTTGCCGTTATTATTTATATAGTTTCTGTTATTTGCTGTCCCCTGAGATAATTTCTCTCCTTCATTGTCTTTGGTTTCGTCTGAGACCTCGTTTATATTCTTGTGTTGGAGTTCGGAACTTGCCAGCCGTAGGGGTTCGACCTGATACAAGCCCGACCTACTGTCCCACGCACCCGCGCAAGAGGGAGACATTCTTGTTACGACCTACCTTTGATCCTCCTCGCATCCGTCCATAGCTAGTTTAAGGCGCAGTTGCTGTTTCAGCGATAATGTCTTGCTGCACGTCGAATGCTAACCCGGGACGCCGGCGGTCGACGCTTCGCTCCAGAGTGCGGCCGCTCACTTCGGCCGGAGAGCATCATCAACATCACCTGCTTCACCATCACCATCACCACCATCACCAGACGCAAGATGGGATTGGACGAGTCCATGACGGATCACGCGGAGAGGCGGCCTCTCCCTTCGCTGGGGAAAGCAGCCAGAGTGCCATTGTCGAGACGGATGAGACTCTCGCCGCCACAGCCCCCAGATCAAAGCATCGCCATAGCAAGAGCTTCTCCAGCATCCTGCATGGCGCCAGTGAGCTCAAGACGATCACCCGGTCTTTGTCCATCAGCATCCGAAACAAGGGAAAACGAGCCGCGCAGGTACCAAGCGAACAGCTGCTGGAAAACCAGGGCCATGACGAGTCCAAGGCAGGCTGGTTTCGGAGCCACAGACTGCCACGCCGCCGGTCCCTTGGTGGAATCTGCAACTTGAACAAATTCTATCCTCCGGTGTCGAGCCCGCCCCTGCCTTCAAACTTCAAGGACTTCACTTGCACACAGCAGAATGGCGAGCTGGTGGGCGGTGCGGCTGGGCGCAAGGGGATGCTTGCACCACCACCAAAGGGGGAGGACGAAGGAATGGAAATCTTCGAGCTTGCTGGTCATCTTGGTGTCAAGCTTGCCTTGGACTCGGAAAGCGGAATAAGCATCAATATTCGGGACACCGACGATAATGCAAAGAAGCTAGATTGCATTCGCAAGGGTTAGTCTAACCTTCTTCAAGACGGTTTTTGTCTTGCATTTCTAACATGTCTTTTTTTTTTTTTTTTTTTTTTTTTGTATAGATCCTGTTTCCTTGCCTGCAGAACTCATGGCGCATATTCTATCCTTCCTCGACGCTGATTCACTCAAGAATGCAGAGCTAGTCTCGCGCTCGTGGAACGTCCATGCTTCGTCCAGCAATGTTTGGCGAGAGGTTTTTTATCGTGAATACAGAGACAGTCGTAATGTCACTCGTACGCCTGGTATCCCGAAGAGAGCGATGGGCCTGGGAAGGAAGAAGCCCGCCCAGGACTGGAAAAAAGTGTACAAGGTTCGACACACCTTGGAGAACCGCTGGAAGTCCGGAAAAGCTGCTGCCATCTACCTGCATGGCCACCAGGACAGCGTGTACTGTGTTCAGTTTGACGAGTATGTCATTCCCCTCACGTATTCCTTGTATTCTGCTCCATGTTTAACTGACAACTTGGCCAGGAATAAAATCATTACCGGTTCCCGGGATCGTACCATCCGTGTGTGGGATGCACGCTATCCGTGGCCGTGTTTGAAAGTCATTGGTGCACACCAGGCCACATCCGACAGCAGCGTACCCGTAACACCCTGGCCCATCACTCCGCCTGCAGACTCAACCGGTAGCTCCCCTTTCATAAGCATATGTCCACCTGTGGCTTCTACTGCCGACCTCATTTCCCACCATGAGTCTGGAGAGTACCACAATGCCTCGATCCTTTGTCTGCAGTTTGATGATAAGATCATGGTCACCGGCTCATCAGACGCCAGCTGTATCGTTTGGGATATGCAAGATGACTATCGCCCCATTCGCCGCTTGAAGTGGCACCAAGCCGGTGTTCTCGACGTCTGCTTTGACGATAAGCACATTGTGTCCTGTTCCAAGGACACTACCATCTGTGTTTGGGACCGCGAAACTGGCCAGCTACTCAAACGCCTCCTCGGTCACCGCGGCCCAGTAAACGCCGTCCAGCTCCGTGGTGATTTAGTCGTCTCTGCCAGCGGTGACGGTGTCGCTAAACTATGGAACATATCATCTGGTCTCTGCATCAAAGAATTTGCCAGCAAAGACCGTGGCCTGGCCTGTGTTGAATTCTCCGAGGATGCACGCACTATCCTAGCTGGCGGAAACGACCAGGTCATATACCAATTTGACGCAAATACGGGTGAACTCGTGAAGGAGTTAGAAGGCCATTCCGGCCTCGTTAGGTCTCTGCACATGGATAACGTTAATGGCCGAGTCATCAGCGGCAGTTACGATATGAGTATCAAGGTTTTTGACGCAAAGGCTGGAAAACTCAGTGTCGATCTCCCCGGCTGGACCACGAGCTGGATGCTGAGCGCAAAATCAGATTATAGAAGAATAGTCGCAACTAGTCAAGACGCTAGAGCTGTGATTATGGACTTTGGATATGGTTTAGACGGTATAGAATCGCTGGAAGGTTAAAAAAAAAGGAAGTCGTCTTCTTTTCTTTGATTTCGGATAGAACATAGCTCCTGGCGCTGGTGTGTTTTTGGATCATCTTGAGATTTGTTATCTGCGCCCTCATTTGCAATAGTTGGATTCTATTCATATAGATTTCTTTATGATACACGGTTATGTTTCCGCATCTCTTGAGTCGGCTTCTGAATTCATATCTTATGATCATACTTCCCATTGAGTTCATCAATATCTGTGATTGAGATGAGACTCAAATGATGGATTACTTACCAACCAACGTCATACAGCAGGGATGTTGCGCCAACATGGAGAGTAAGTCTCCCTGGTCGTATTATTTAGCGACTCGACCGTGTGTTTTGATTCTTCGGCTATCACGAGCTGTTATTGGCTTCGACTAGCTCAACCACAGACTGAGGATACTCTGGCATTGTATATCCTCAGGCAAAGGGGCCAGCTGGACGGCCTCTGCCAAGTGGGCAGGCAACACAATTAAATATAGCATGGTAGCAAGCTCTTGAGAGATCAGCTATTTATCTGCGCGAAGGCCAGCGAGTTCTCAGATGGAGGGCTTTACAGATATACTTAGTCGCAGTACATTGTTTCCTTACCACTCAAGGATCACATAGCATTCTCACCATGGCTTCGAAAGCAGCAACACCAATGTCTATCCCTAAAACTATGCGAGCCTGGACACATCAACGGGCTGGTTCACCATCCAAAGTTCTGTCAATGAAGGATGACGTCTCCGTGCCCACGCCTCCGACTGATACCTCTATCCTGGTGCGAGTCTCTCATGTCGCCTTCCACCCCGGAGTGATCATTCTGATGCATTTTATCCCCTCGTGGCTGCGTCGAATGCCTGCAGTACCCGAGACAGACTTCTCTGGCGTAATCGTCCGCTGTGGAAAGGACGTTCCTATTTCCAATGGATCTCGAGACTTTAAGCCAGGCACGCCAGTCTTTGGCTCGTTGCCTGTGAAGCCGTACCTTGGTACTGGCCAGGGTGCATTGGCAGAATATATCGCCATTGAAGCAGAAGCTATCGCTAGAAAGCCCACCAATGTATCGTTCGCAGAAGCTTCAGGCCTGGGAGTCTCTGCCCATACGGCTTTAGTTTTGGTTGAAGCGGCAGAAGTGCCCAAGGACGCCAGAATTCTCATAAACTCCCCCTGCGGTGGTGTTGGACACTTTGCAACCCAGCTTCTGCGTCACCGTAACCCCACGGCACGAATCACCGGTATCTGTTCTGGCCATAACCATGCACTTGCCCTCCAGCTCGGCTGTACCGACACCATCGATCACACCTCATTCCCCAATGCCGGGGGCCAAACACTAGTCCAGCATCTTGCTTCAAAGTACGGAAATGACGAAGAGAAGTTCGACATCATATTCGATGCCTACGGAAGTCAGGATCTCTGGATAAGTTCTTCCAAGTACCTTAAGCCAGGCAAAGATCATCCATATGTTACTGTCGGCCCCAAGATGGGTGTCTCCATCATGGAAGTGCCTGGGTTTTTATGGAAGGTGATCATGAACTCGACATTACCAACCTGGCTGGGAGGAGTGCCGAGACCGTATAAGCAGATTTCCGCATTCACGAACACGGAGGCCATCGAGAAATGTAGGGAGCTGGCCCTGGCAGGCGAATTCAATACACATGTGGGTGAAACCTGGGAACTGGACCAGGCATTGAGTGCCTATGAGGTGATGAGCAGTGGCCATGCCCGCGGGAAAGTCGTGGTTAAAGTCTGGGAGCCGGACGAGGAGTGACCCAGGTTACGACGATATGGATGGGTATTTCTTAATTAACGTCCAACATTCTCTGTAATGATGTGATATATATTTTACCTTGACGTAGCAAACCTGTCGTACGCAGTCAGGATTTCTAAGGACCAAAGACCCGGCGCCTAGTTGCTCTGGTTGTGTAGTCATGACATTAATTATACTCCGTATTCCAAGGAGGCTCTCCACGCTGGGGAACGAGGTAGAAGGGTATAGGCCGGCGGGGATCAGCTGTGTTCTGGGGGTAGACGATATTAAAACTCGGAATTTATTTGTTTGTTTCTGGGGCTGGAGTCCTTAGTTAACAATATTTATTTAGCAAAATTAACCCGGCAGGCCGAAGTCTCCTTTTTCTGTCACTTTATCAAATCACAGGACGAAGTCGCCTGCAGACATCCAAATCCTCCACCACACACTCGCGCTGCCTCAGTCACAGCAGTCTCCTATTACAGAGACACATCCAGCTAGGTATCTTCCGCCCTGATAAATCAAATGACTGGATATCCTCCCTTTCCCACGCCGCTGACTCCCCGCCAACGGCTCTCCAGAAGATTCCAACCCGTACCTGAGAAACCTAAAAGCCAAAGAAGTAACCAAGGGGAACCGTTCTCCTCATCCTTCACTAACGACCTGAACGACCGATATCGCGACGATGAGTGAATCAAGGTACGAGTCTGGTGGACTTTGCCCTGCGAGTTCGACGTGGACATTACCTGGCCGCCGTTGCCCCGCCTTGGCCAGGACGCGTTTCCCTGCGATACAACGGTGTTGCTAGGGTTGGTGTCAAAGATGTCGATGATGTCGAGAGGGCGGGAGTTAATGACGGATATGCTGACCACTGGCTGTTTAAACCGATCAGACAGGAGTTGCTGCAGTGGGTTAACAACCTGCTGCAACTGAATGTGACGAAAGTCGAACAATGCGGAACCGGGTATGCGTGATATCCTCTACCCCTTGAGCTGCTACGGCTGCTTCTCCCTCCCATACGATCCGTTTTGTTCGTCCGCCGAAGAGTGGTGTACACATATGTACCATGTTTTGCCCTATCACGAAGTTCAGCAGGTTCGGTGGTCGACACTCTACGTAAAGACGTGGGAGAGGGAATGTAGTCGTTCGCTCGTCACTCGATAATTGGCTGTTAATTTGAGACAAGATGGTAATGTGCTGACTCTTGGGACATTAGTGCTGCATTCTGTCAAATACTTGACTCGATTTATAGTAAGTATGGCTTTCAAACAGGTGTGAATAAGACTCCCTCAGCTAACTGTGATGATTATAGTGGACATCCCTATGGGACGGGTAAAGTTCAACGTTAACACCGAATACGCCTATGTAAACAACTTTAAGATTTTGCAGAGTACGCCCCCAGCACCGTCTGCAATCGCATCTAGGTCTAGGACTGACAATGTGCTTTCTATATATAGGTGCCTTTGTGCGCCATCAGATCGACCGTCCGGTCCCTGTCCAGTCCTTGATCAAGTGTCGTATGCAGGACAACTTGGAGTTTCTGCAGTGGATAAAAAGACATTGGGACCAGTACTATCCTGGCGGTGAATACGATGCCGTTGCGCGACGAAAGGGATCCGGAGCGCCTCCACCTGCTGCCGGGGGAGCTCGTTCAGGAACTTCTTCGGCCACAGGCACCCGACGAGGCACAACGCCTACGAGCGCCGCTGGCAGAGCGCGAGTTGGTGGTGCAAACAACCTGGCCCTGACCCAAGAACTGAATGCACAAAAGGAGGCCATCGCCGGCCTCGAGAAGGAGCGCGATTTCTACTTTGCGAAGCTGAGAGACATTGAACTTTTGCTCCAGCAAGCCGTTGAGGCTGATCCAGAATTGGAAAAGGGAGATGACTCGTTGGTTAAGCATATCCAAGCCATCCTGTACTCTACAGAGGTATTACCCCTATCCATGTCTTAAAGGCCGTTGATCATCCGTTAATCTCCATACTAACGATCGAACTAGGAGGGATTCGAGATTCCAGATGGCGAGGTTGGAGGAGAGGAATTGGAGACATTCTAAATTGCATACCCCATACTCAGCACATTCTACATCTACACCTCAGACTGTCTATTCTAACGGAAGACCGCTTGTGATCTCTCCATAGCGCACTCGCAGATAAAACCCTCCATTGATCAAATATTCTCTTCTAGCTCTTGTTGTTCGCTCTTTATTCCGATCGGTGTAAATGTTACATAATCAATTACATATTACATAAGCTCGATATTGGCTTCCCTTAATGGACTAGCGTCAGGTACCGCGGCCCGTGCTGACCAATCATGTGATCCTCACTGTTTGATTCCCAGTCTTGGCAGGGACTTGGCGGCGACTCTTCCTGATTAGGAAGCGCGCACGACATGGCATCAACTTCGCTTCTTCTGCTCCGTCGACGCTGCAACTACGACAACTCTGGCACAGCGACGGCGCAGACGACGAGGACGACGTGGAAGACTCCTGATGGCGTCTGTGCAGCCGCTGAAGAAGAGACACATCCATCAAGGACGCTGAGAAGGTGAGCAGGCAAAGCAAACAGAAGGCCCGACGTGGCTCGCGGCTGGGATTGTTGGTTCGTCCATTGTACCATCCCCCGTCCTGCACGCGGGTTGGCTGGACATCTCAACCTATGCGAGTGGGAAACCGCCACAAAAACCACTCGTGGCCCTGTCTTCCCAAGCTCTTCACTCCAACTCGTTTATTTGTCACAATTACACGCAGCTGGGCTGACCAGGATTTCCCCTTTCTCCTCCAGGTCCATCCTCCTCTAGATTTTGGCCAGGTAAATTAAGCACCACTCGATTCGGAACCAATGCCAAAGCCAACCCTTTTTTAACGCAAAATCTTCTTCAAATGATAGCTATTTCCTCAGCCGTGCCAGTTGGTCTGATGACCAGCAGCCGTTCCTTTCGACCTTCCTCTCCTGTCATGGATTAGCAAAGGGCGACTTTCTTCGACTTCGTCCTTTTTCCTCTTCCCTCACCACTGCGCCGAACATTAACAGTCGTTCTTTACCCTCACAGCGATTGACGTCCGCTCTCTTGACGATCCTCTCCTTATCAACACACACACACACAAACGCCAGCCTTCGTTTCATGCATTGCTAGAAGCATTTACATTCTCTTTCTCCACGTTACAGCAGCCGCTCTCTACATATTTCCGTTCGTTCCCTTAAAACAACTACCATTCTGCGACTGGCTCTGAAAACGAAATTAGAACGTCGATTTAGTTTTAAATCGGGCTTATCTGTCAGATTCGATCAGGATACTATGCACCATCTTCCTTTTGACCTGGTTCAGTTTTCAATATCAACACCGTAACTCGGCCTCTCTGGTTCAGATATTCACAAGTGAATGCAGCAAAGCTCTGCAAAAGGCCTTTTCCTCATTTTGTGACATTTTCGTTGGATTGATTGTGTAGAACATTTTCTACAACTTTTTAATTTCTTTCTTCAAAGCGGTATTTGAGATACTGCTTACTCTATGCCCAGGATGGGGGGGCATCACATTGATCGACGGAAGCATTGGAAAGGGCCTGAATATCGGATCAAGGACATAGTACAGAGAGAAGTAGAGCAATTGCCGAAGGACCGTCGGAACAATGAGACGCCTCCAAAACACGAGACACCACGCACCACTACCGTTGTACTGACGGTCATTGAGGCTGTCCTTATGGATGGTGCCACAGCGGCCGTATTTACCGTCCCTTCTCTCCCGGCAACTGTTTCGCACTCGCGTCTTGGTGTTGTCACGATTCCCTCCGGATCCAAGTCCCCAATAATCGTGTCTCCTTTTCCAACTCCACAGACGAAAACCCCCGAATTAAAGAGTGTTTCACAACCTCCGCCGAGCCAACCGTCAAAGCCGTCAACGAATGTCTCCCTTCCCTCTAGTATACATTCGTTACCATCAACAGACGTTTCACTGCCCTCTAGCCAACATTCGTCACCCTCTACTCATGTTCCTCAGTCCTCTAAGCCATCTACGAACATCTCCTCACCTTCAACTATACCCGTCACTTCTCATGCTTCCACCTCCGTCCTTCCACATCCATCATCGAAGGATTCTTCAATACCCTCTGATACCCAATCCACACCGCCCTCGAAGTCCTCAAATTCATCAACTTTGAGTTCGTCAATATCACCCAGCAAACCAGCCTCCATATCATCTACACACTCTGTATCATCATCAACATCTTATTCTCCTTCAAGCAGCCACACATCTTCGTCATCGTCCATATCCCTCTCCTCAGTATCGACGAGTTCCGCTTCAAAATATCCTTCAGGCGGGGGTGGAGGTGAATTAACAGGTGGACACCCACAACCAACCGCACCAACCGAACCTAATGGAGACCATGCCAAGGCCTCTTCCAACTCTGACGTCCCCAAGATTGTTGGTGGTGTCGTTGGGGGTGTAGCTGGGATTGCTCTGATCATAATACTATTACTTCTGCTGCGCCGTGTACGGAAGCGGAAAGCTGTCCGCGAAAGCAATCTTACGGGCGGGATAATGAGCTCTGGCGCTTCAGCGGACCGAAACACATTCTCCACAAGTAATACCAGCCAGCTTTCTGGGACCGTCCTTGGTGGAGCAACACGTGTTTTTGATAGATTTAGAACATCAACCGCTTCAATGGCAGGAGAGCCTGTTGAGCGGGGATTTCAAAAGATAGGAGGAAGAAAACTTGCCTCTGTCCTTGAAACTGGCGGTGACGGTTACGACGACAAATTCGGGACCGACGAAAAGAGTCTTATCGTACCACCTCGACCAGCTGGCCATCAAAAAGAAACTACTGCCACAGACGGAGAAGGCTCTACTGGCAGTGGTTTGCATAAGGAACTGGGATTGGGAGGACCATTATCTCGATCTGCCGACCGACCTATTTCTGACGAAAGCATATATTCCGAAAGAGTTGCATTCCGCCCATCGCCCGCTCGGACGCCCATTGCTACGCCTGTGGGATCTGCTATATGCGAGGGGATAGCAACCACTCCTCAGAGTGGTATAGTTGCACCATCGGAACCCCTACCGGCGGCCTCAACATCGTCGGGCAGAGACGAAATTGGTCGAAGCTTAGCCGCAGCTGATGGCAGCCGCGCCAGTAAATTCACAGAAGGCGTCTGATGCGGCGACGTGCTGTTAAAGGGTGCTTTTCTTCCCGCCCGCCTCTTCCGCACAGTATAGTTTATGATCATGTTCTTTATTCACTTCCCTTACCTACCCCTCTGCATCATGCCTTTTTCTGCTTGCCCTGCCTGGCTTATTAACCCCTTTGTACCTCTTTAACACATACCCTTACTACTCCTATTTTAATACTCTATGGCGTCTAGTGTTTATTAAAGGACTTCTTTTTCGTTTGAAAAGCTTAGTACAGAATTAAACAGAATTAATTAGCACCTCTTATTTAATAGGATCAGCCTACTTTAAGATGTTGTTTCTTAATTTATATAGATAAGACTGATCAAGCTTGACACCTTTGCTTCCCTTTTCCACTACAAATCATGATGTATGGAGACCCAGAACTAGAACTATTTATCTTGGATGCTACGACCAGGCTCTCTTTTGTTGGCTATAGCTGTATATTATTCCTTTGCTGTCGGCACAGAGCTCATGCTAGTAATATGTACAAGCAAGATTATACCATTCTTACCTCTAATAGTGGTGATATTACATTGCTAGCCTTATATGTGACTATCTACTACTATCTCTTACTTGATGATAAGAATCAAGCCCCTTACTCTACCTCCACTTGTTTTACCCGGTCATAATCAACTACATTAAGGGCAGTATTTTTTTTTTTTTAAGGAGAGTTAAGTATTTAATTCATCTGCCTTACTGGCCGTCCCTAACTATTCATCCAATTACTCGGCAAGGCCTGAAGACCCGAAAACTCAAAAGGGCTCACTCGTAGATAAAAAGAGGAGAATCAAGATCAAGGCCCAGATAAGCTAGACATATTCAGGTATAATGAATGTGATAATTGATACGGCGTTGGGTCACTCGAAGGGGCCCGTATGACGTCGTAGTTCATGGACTTTGGGCTTTATTTCTATATTTTTATACATATATGAGCCAAAGAGGTCCTTATAAGAAGGTTGGAGTGCAGGTGAGATATAATAGGGGGCTTCTTACGCCGCAAGCAGTGCAGTTACAGCTTCCACTGGTGCAAGTGCAGTCCTTTGGGCCGTTGCACCCACAGTTGTTAGATCCGCATCCGCAGCCCATAGTGATGACAGTGGTGGAGGTGAGGATTCTTGAGTTTGTAGAGTTTGCAAAATATTTTATGGCAAATGTTCAGTAGACTCTCTGCCGCAGCGTATTCTTGACCAAGGTAGAAAGAAAACGAAGAAAGAGGAGAGAGAACAGAGAATATATAATGAGGAAATACGAATGCCAACTCTTCTATCAGGCAAGCAGAGGCGATGGAGGGTACAGGTAAACAGGGAGATGATGTCATTCGGCCACCGTGAAGAAGTAAAAGTGGCACAACCCAGCCGGTGGATATCAACTTACACTTTGTTAGTTATGCATGTAAACGACTGGCTGGGTCGTTCTTGTGCTGGCTGGATCAAATCCTGTTCTGGCGGAAAGTTTCTGGATAAGTTCTTTATCAGTCTGCTTTTGCCGCTGGGAGGAGGGTACATTTCAGTACCTGCAGAGCGTAGCGAGATTTGGCGCCGAAGCGAGGTATCTTGACCAGTTAGCTAGCTGGCATCCGTAATTAGTCAAAATAAACATCCCACTTCGCTCTCTAGACCTGGCTGGACAATGGGTAAACGGCTATAGTTGAAGAAAATTTTTTAGTCTCCCATCTTTTCCGCTTGCTGGCTCCAGTCTTGGGCTGCTGCAAGCGTGCCATCCATGCCATCGGTGAACTTAGCAGGGGAGCTTATATATTTCCGAGGTTTAAGGTAGCTAACTTGACGG